TACTTCTTGTATTACTTCTATTAAGCCATTGTGCATCAATTCTACCCATTGAGAAAAGTTCTTTGCTGTCTTCATATCCAAGAATTGATGAATCATTTTGCATTATTGGACCAATGAAGCAAGGATTTGGTGTCCTATGTAGATTTGCTGGTTGATATTTGAATACACTTTGTCCAAGATTTACTAGTACTAAAATATCACCATTTGATGCTAAAATTGGGTAAAGTGGATTTCCAAATTCTTCTGTTTTGCAAAAAATTTCATGTACTAACAATGAATCCACTGTGAAAAATACCTTCTTTTGGCTTGGATTGTAACCACAACCAATCACTCTTTCTGCTTTTCCCCACTCTCCTCTTTGTGATTCAAACACCAATTTCATTCCTAAAAAAAGATTAAAAAATTCAAGTATGGTTACTAAACTTTAATAACAGTAACATACTCAGTGTAATTGCACAAGTGGGATGTGGTTACAATAATTCAACAACAGTAACATACTCGATGTAAATTTCACAAGTGGAGTATAGTTACTAAACTTCATTCACTATACAAGTAAATCTGCATTTAAAGTAACTGTAACAATAAAGTCACTAAACACCTATCCCGTGGCATGCTATAGTACAATAACAACATATTATAACCCCTCAAGTGGGATTGGGGAGGATAGACGCGTACACAAACCGAGATGGTAGACCTTACATTTATAATAAATAATATAGGTATATATGCATAAGTACTTGCGGTAGATACATTAAGTCCAGTGGCTTTATTGAATAATAAATGGATTTTACCTAAAAAATTTAGGCCATTATCAGAGTAAGGTCACTAAACTTTACCTATTATAAGGACAAAACTTATGGTATCAAGGTAATTTTACTATTATAGTGGGTAACACTTTTTTGACTTTATTGTTTAACGGGTAAAGTTCAGTTACTTCAACAATAATACTAGTGATTATTTGGTTGTTGACTTGTATGTTGACAAATTCTGTTTATGGTGTAACAATTCCACAATGTTGATCATGGACAATTAAAAACACTAATGACTGATTACTTATGTGACTTTTGGAATAAGCAATGAGCTAAGTAAATAAACATTGTTATCAAATGCAAATAATAAAGTAAAATGGCCACTATGAAAAGTTAGTTTATGAACATTTTTAGTGCTTTAAATTGACTTATACAACTCTGTTTAGCCATTCTAAAAACTCCAAATGGACTCACAATTTACCCCTTCAATTTCAATTTCTCATATTTTTTCCGTAGACCGAAGGGAAAAAATCTGAAATATATTTGAATTTTGATCGAAATTATTGTTACGATATTAAATTTTGAAAATGACATTTTATCTTGCACTATTTAATAATGTATTTTAAAGGTATATTTGTGCCCACGTAGATATAAAAAATATTGCATAATTATAAATAGTAATGTGTCCAGGTGGGTATATACATACCTTTAAAATATACTATTAAATAGTTCAAAGGTAAAAAATCCTTCTTAAAGCTTGGTATTTTAACAACAATTTGGGCCAAAATTGAAGTATTTGTAAGACCATTTTCCCTTTAAAAAGATGTCTCTTTTTCTTTTTTGATTTCGATAAGTTCTAAACTTTTCATATAATATGTTTAAGATCACAAGATTAAAAATATTTAGATATATTTCATGCATCTTTAATTTAAGACAACGAAATTCAAAAATCTTGTTTTCTTTGCTAAATTCCATGTCAACTTTAAAATCACCACCAACATTATTAGTGAAATCCGAGTGAAGTCTATGAAAAATAGAGTGTATGTAAATATTAAAAATAAAGACAAACAAATTGAAACAAGGAGAAAACGATTGAAAAGAGAACTTACCATCAAGAAAAACAGAACCATTTGAGTTAAATCCAATGGAACCTTGATAGCTGCCTGGAAGTTTAAGCGGTAGAGAACCAGCAGCAGCACTTGTTAGCCCAATTGACAACACAATGAACTCATCACTTCTCAAATTCTCCTTTGATTCTTGAATCTTTTGATGATAACTACTACTACTACTACTTGTAACATGAACCAAAGACTCTGAATTAGCCTTTGAATTAGAAGAATCCTCTCTAATTAACTTAATTTTCTCCAAATCTAATTTATCCTCTTTTACCTTCCCCATAACCTCAACATTATTCTCTTGATTCCATTGCAAAATTGTTATCTCGAAATAAGATTCTTGTGGAAATGATGAGTTTCCCAAATGAGGTCCTGGTAATGGTAAACTAGTTTTTACCACAGACATAAATTTACTGCTTCGATTGAGTTTTTGATTGCCATAACTAAATCGAATTTTCTGCATAAAATCAGATGAATCTTGACAAATCTCCCAACTCATATGATCATTACCAACACATGATCCTAAAATGGACCTAGCTGATGATCTAATGGATGAAGATGGAGCAATAGATGTGAAAGCAAATCTTGACCATCCATTTTCAACAGCATCAGTTACAAGTGATGGATGATCAGACCAATTGAAACCTTTTTTAACAACATAATATTTGTTTGTAACACTTACATGATGAAGTTTCGAAATTCCATTTTGTAAATTCTGAGTTTGTCCTTTCGACGAATCTGACTTTCTAGTACAACATCTTCGTTTAATCATTGTGATTACAATTACAACAAGAATCACACTTGAAAAAGCTACGAATGAGATCTTCAACCATTCTTCCATATTCTCAATTTTATTTAATTTTGTGGCTTTTAATTGAGAGATTTATTTATTTTTGGAACAGAGGAAGGAAAAAAAAAAACATGAACGGTGGCGGCAAAGAGAAAGAAGAATGGTTCAAGAAAGACTGCAATAAAGACCAAAAGTTGACATTTTTTATTATTTATTTTTTAGATATAAATAATATAAATGGAAAGAATGGGAGAGGCGTTTTAGGCCAAGAAAAGATAACATTTACACCTTTTCTATATTGACAAAAATGCAGGCACGCTCATAAATATATATTTTTGGTTATTTTTATTTCTTCAATATTTTTAAATATTCTTTATTTTATAATATTCTTCATGTTTTACTTTTAAAATTTATTTATTTTTAAAATATGAATTTGATCAATATAAGAAAATTAAATGATTATATTTACGTTTGTTGATCAGTTTAATTAAATTTAAATAAATTTATTATTTTGCTCCAATTAATTATGGAATGAATGAATTAAAAATTTAAGGTTTTCAAGAAGTTTTATCTTTTTTCAAGTAATTAATTGAGGTTATAATTAGTAAATAAAATTATTCTTTTTTGATTTGTCAAAATAAGACAAATAAAAAGAAATTGAAGAAGTAATAAGGGACAATGGGAATACTAAATACACGATATCAACGGGAAAAAGATAATTGACTTTTGAACTGACTAAGAAGTTTAACCAAATTCGATTAATATTTTTATGCAATAAAATTTAAAAAATCGTAGTTCGATTTGATTCTTCTGTTGATTAATTTAAAAGATTCGATTGAAGTTTCAATAAAAAAACCTCAAAGTCAATTTCTTGAAATAATTTTTAAAAAGTTTTAAATAATTCAGTGTTAGATTAAAATTATTGTGTTAATCTGAATGAGAAATGTTATATGTAAGATAAAAATAGAAGTCCAACTGGTTAATACTAATTTTTTGTTTTGTACTTAAACCATCAAGCTTAGTCGATTTTCTATTTTCTTGATATTTTGGGTAAAAGCAATTGATTGACCTTGTCGGTTTTTTCTTCTTCTTTTTTTTTTAAAAAAACAATTTTTTGGATCAAACCAATCAAGTTAGTCATGTTTCAATCGTTCCAAAAGATTTTGATGTTTTTAATATCGTTTTCAATATTTGGATACATTATTTTATTAAAAAAAAAAAGTTATTTCTAAATTTTAAAGAGTAATAATCTCTCTTGAAACAACTTTACAAAAATATCTCCCGACACCATTTTTTTGGGTTTTAGGGGACGCGTGTCTCGTTTATTTTTAATTTATAATATAAATTTTCAAAGGACATAGAAAGACATTCTTTTGTTTTAATTTTTTTATATATTAAAAATAAAAGCCTTCTAGAGAGAAAAAAAATTCTTGAAATGGGGGTCAATGATGCATGGTTTGACTTGTGTCAAATTTGCCTAAAATTAATATGAAGGGACTGTTAATTGTCAAGAATTAATTAGAAAAAAATAATCAATTAGTGAGCCTAAAAATGCGATAAAATTTTAGACTTTAGTGTTATATATATATATATATTGTAACTTTAATTTGACATAAATTAGAATTTTGACTTTTATTATTACATAATATGAAGTAAAGAGATTATATAGGAAGTAACTTTAATTTGACATAAATTAGAATTTTGACTTTTATTATTACATAATATGAAGTAAAGAGATTATATACGAAATAACCTAAGTGACTATATGCAAAATTAACTTCTTCTTTTTTATGTATTTATAAAAAAGCTAATTGCAAATAATATAATCTTGAGCTTGAAATCTTGACCATCAAGCTCGCGGATTAAAAATAATCAAATAATTACAAAAAAGTAATAATTTACTCGTGCATGTACTTCAACTTTTGTTTTTCATGTATTTTGCATAGCTCCAATATTATATTGCCTTTAAAATAATAATACAAAATAATTTTAATTTAAGATATGAAGTGAAGTCTTAAATTTAAATTCACTTACCAGTGGAATTTTGATAATATCATTTAGATGAATTCTGCGTACGACCTTATATGTTCTAAGGTTATTTTTGAATATTTTATTTGATCGAATTGTCGACGTTTAACTTTGTAGAGAGGTGAAAATTAAAAGTTGGGAACAATTACAAGAGCAAAACATTTAAGGAAAGTAACGAATAAAAAAAAAGCTAGGAATATACAAAAGTAAGAACCTGTTTTCATAGAACAATGTGAATATAATGACCCGTAAGGTCATTTTTGAAAATTTGAATATTAGTGTAATTTGAGTTAATTATTCGATAGTTAATGGGTTAAAGTGATAATTTATTCAAAACCTTATATTACTTAACTCATTTATATTAAAATAAGTAATAGGTCTTCTCACTTTTAACCTATAATAAATTTTAGAAGAAAAAAAAAGAGATCATACGAGAGAGGCGAATGGCATAGTTCGAGGCAACAATATAAGCGACCCATGCTGCAGGTAAATCCCAAAGTTTATTTTGTTTGTGTATTATTTTTTTTTGGTAGGAAAAGAACAGCATATTAATGGTTGGTGATGAGTTGTATTATTGTATTAATATATAAAATTACAAATTTGAAGGATTACAACGGTCTTGCTTGAATGATTTAGGGGCATTAATTAATGATATGTTCTTCAATGGTGAAAATTAAATTGAAATTGGAAATTTCTACTGTCTAGGTGGGTTATACAATTAGATTGGATAGGTTGTTAGTTAATGTGTGGGTATTAAGGGTTAATTGATGGTTGTCGTCACTGTTCATAATCGGTTGACTTCCATTAATGAATTTTATTTCATTATCATGTTATAAAGTAAGGTTTGATATATTGAGATAGGTAATTAAATATTAGGTAATATAATTAGATTTACGGTATTGGAGAATGAAAACGCAACCCAGACTTGAAATTTGGAGATATGAGGGTTGACATAATAATTGACATCAAAATTTAGGAACTTGATTTCAGGTTGGTGTAGACTTTTTCTGTCTAGGCCATATCTATAATAATATGGGTGTGGTTATGTTCGAAATCTTATTGTGATTATGTACTTGAATAGATTGTATTGTTTTGGAAGATCAACATAATGGGAAGACTCAAGTCCCGGAGTAATCATTCGATTGTTTGAGGCAAGTGAATTTCTAAACTCTTGTTAAGTGTATGGAATGCGTATATGTCCTTGTGGTATATGCTTGTGAGTAATGGGGCTTGGTGATGGTTGACTTGTCCACATTGATTAATTCTAATGATGAATAATGGATAATAAAAGGCAATGTGATTAATTGTTTAGGTGTGATGTGTTGAGGAAGGTTTGGAAGCTTGTTGAATCATTGTTGATGTGGTATCATGTTGTGTTGTCGTGAATTGTGTAATTTTGTGAAAATGATCATCTCCTCTTTATTTATGGGAACATTTCATTTGCATTATTTTAAGACATGATTGTGAAAGTGTTATGTGCATGGAGAAATAATGAGAACTTAAAGAGGATGTACTATTTCGAGGGACGTATCGCGCGCCGCGATGGTTACTATTATCGAGGGTTGTGTCGTGCGCCGCGACAGATGCATGGACAGATATGTCCCCCGTGGGTCCCGGACTGAGAGACAGCGGGTGTGTATCACTAGGTCAGACATGCATCATTATACTTGACATTCCATTCCATTGCATTGCACATGCTTATCATTAGTGAACTTGATATTGTGTTTTGCTGATCTTGTGAATGCCTTTCTATGGAACTTGTGATTGTTGAATACTGAGCTTGTTTTTGAGGATATAAAATTTGTTAAAGTGTTGTTGTTGAGGATATGTAATTTGGCAAGGTATTGTTGTTAAGGATATGTAATTTGCCAAAGTATTGTTGTTGAGGATATGTAATTTACCAAAGTGTTGTTATTGAGGATATGTAATTTGTCCAAGTGTCGTTGTTGAGGATGTGTAATTTGTCTAAGTGTTGTTGTTGAGCTACGTGCTATGTAAATTGTGAGCTGTTAGGTTGGGTTGATTTTAATGCAGGTTGTAGTTGTGGAGGTTCGGTTGGGGGTGGTAGGAGTACCCGTATATCATCCCCTTAGCTTGTGTTTAGAGGTTTACTTGCTGAGTACGTGTGGTTTGGTACTCACCCCTTGCTTCTACAAATTTTTTTGTAGGTTATGAGCCTGGATTTTTGTTGTACTTGTCATTCTCTTATTTTCTGAGGCTTCATGGAGATTTGTGAGGTAGCTGTTTCCATCTCAGCAGACTTTCTTCTCCATAATTATGATCTTGTTCTATTCTAGAAACAAGTTCATTTGAGACTTGAGTTTTTCTTTTGAATCAATTGTAATACTTTAGAGACTTGTACACGTGACTACCAGGTTTTGGGGTATAATGTAAGTTGATAGTAAATTTTCCGCATTTTTATTGTAATGGTTGAGTTTTAGGCTGACTTGTCTTGATAGGATAAGACGAGTGTCATCACGTCCATTTTTGGGTCGTGACAGTGAATGATACTTTTCATCGCAAAAAATTTATAATGTCTCAGCTTCTCTAGAGTCAAACTCTCTCTCTATATATATATATATAAAGAATTGCAACTTATACACTAATATTTGTCTGAATAAATAAATTTTAAAGTCTTTGAAAATTAATTTAATAGATTGATCACCGAATAATTTGAATTTTATTTTGGAAGGAAAGGAATGGTTGCTTTATTTTTTATCGACGGACTTATGATCAATTATCACAATTCTTAATTAAGCGTAGGGATGCTGTTGAAGTAATGATTTTGCATCATCCACTTTTAATTTCTTTTACATTTTTTTTTCTTCTTGTTATTTCTTTGGATTCATTAGCATGATTTATCCTTAAAAGACACAAAAAAAGAGGACAATTTCATGGCAAAAGCTGGTCCAATCTTCAGACTTTTCTTCTTCTTATGACACAATTTTTCTTTACAAAAGACTCAAAAACTTTGAAAAAGTAAAAGATAGATAACGAAGGGCGGGCCATCAATTTTGTTAAATTAATATTCTTCATTAATAATACCCTTTTTTATTTATCCATTCACTCTAAATCATGTAATGAATATTGTATTAACGAGAGTTATCGTGAAGTGGTAAGTAAGGTTTCGGGTTCAAGTCTCATTGAATATGTAAAATTACATTTATAAGGAAATGCTTTATCCCAATGTGAGATTTTAAGACACGATTTTAAATTTAGTCGGATTCTGAATATCGAACAAAAAGAAAATGTAATTAATATGGTAAAACTACTATATATACTATGACAATTTTGAATAATTTTTTAGCTACTTATAAAACATTCAATGACTATCAGCTGAGCTTATTGAAATTATATCTCTATGCCAATTCTTCGTGACAGAATAAAAAATAATACTACTAACTAAACAATATTTGAATTCAGACTAATTGAAAAAGTTCTTCTTCTTATATGAGCTGAATATTTTATTTTTTTTAGTGGCTTTTCATGGTTTAAAAATTAAAATATGATGATCATAAATTAGGTCAACCCCTTTTTATTCCTTCTTTAAATTTGTTTTTATATTATCGAACAAATACGCGAGATTATGGAGATCAAGAAATAAAGTAAATAACTTGTAAATAGTTGAGTGGTTCTTTTCTTCTTAACGATAGAGCAAATACCAACGATCGCCTCCCTTACCAATATTATTATTTTAATTGTCGTAGCAATTTATTCTTTAATTTTATTATTATTATTGTTTATTTTATTTTAATAATTACTTTTTCTATTTTTATTGTCGATATTAATTTTTTATATTTTATCTTAATTTTTTCTATTCGTGCTTTCTTTTTTAAACAAGTCTTAAAAAATAATTTTTTGAATGGAGAGTTTACTGAAAACAATTTCTTTATCCTGTAAAAATAGAAATAAAATCTACGTACATCTCACATTTCCTAGTTTCCACTTTTATATATATATATATATATATATAATATATATATATAGTTGTACTATTCCCAAATTTGTTGTTATAACATACTTGACATTACCAAGAAGAGAGAGCTAGAATTATTGTACATGCTTAATTCATAGAATTATTGATTAACCTAACAAGGAGGAATCAGGTTGAGCTACTCCATCTCAATTATGTTTTACTAATAAGGACTAAAAAATAAATTATAACCGTCACGGATTATTATGGATGATAAATATTTCTCATTTTTAATTAGTTATCTCAAATTAAAGTTTCGGAATGAAATGATATCTAATATGAAGCATTATACCATTAAAATCAAAAATTTGAAACGCAAACTCAGATTAATAAGATCGTAAAATAAATATCGATCATCGTGTCCAACATTGATTCCTTCAAATGTGTATCAAATAAGTATATCCGTTGAAAGCACGGCAAAAGACAAAGTGAAAGTAAAAAAAAAAAGACAAAAAAGAGTGGCACAAAAAAAGAGTAGATGGTAAAAACATTCGATAGGAGTCATAGGATATACTCTTAGTATAGTAAACAAAAGCATGAAATATGGAGCTTTTGTCATTTCATTTTGTTTCCTACTTTGGAACAAAGATATCTTCCTCCTAATTATTATGGTTGTAGGGTACATTTAGCAAGGAAGCAAAATTAATCTCGTACTTGGTCAATTTTTTTGATGTGCTTGATGAAAATATTACACTAGAAGAATTGAGTAAATGACGAGGCATTGATATATGTCACCTACACGTCAATTGTGTGTCAACAAGACCTAACCCTAAAGGTTGGGATTATATTTACTAGGCTTTAGTGGTAAATCGAGATCAACTGCTTGATAGGCTTAGTTAAAAAATTAAGTTGCATTCTTGCTAATAGTTAATATTATAACTTTTTACATGATAATAAATGCTTGACCTAACAAGTGATATGAGAATCAAGATCATAGGTTCTACACTTATACTCTCAAAAGCGACATGATACATGTGAGAGGTGTTGAGAGAGGGATTGTTAGGTAACATCGACATTTTCCCAATAGTGAGGCTCGTGTGATGGAGCGTGGATGGCCCAAGGTCAGAGTCTTTCTCGAATATGGAGTTTGGTTAAGAAATAAAACTATGTCATCGCGATCAACTATAGCTTTTAGCATAATCATAAACACTTGACGATCTAACACACGTTAGTAGTGTTTTTTGGGGTTTAGTTGTCAATATCTGAAATATACTGGCCCATGTTCTCACAAGGACAATGGACCATGCCCAAGCCCATCTCATTATGACTGTTTAACAAAGGCCCAAATTTTATTTCTATATTACAAAATAATTTACAAAATTTAATATGAAAAGTGTTTAAATAACAAAGGCCCAACTCTGCTCTGCTTTATTTGACACTATTTACTTATTGAGTTTTGGGAATAGGCCCATTTATGATAGTGGGCCTAATGGCTGGTTTGGACTTTATTTTCTAAGTTGGGTCAAGAATCTCTTTTACCCGAAAGGTTTATATATATATATATATATATATATTATAAAAGAAACATACAAACGAAAATTAGTATAACAAATGAAATTATATCTATAAGGCGTAATTAAACAAATTGTAGGTTAAGAAAGTTACATAATGTTTCATCTCTTTTTGCTATGTATGAAGTCATATATTATTATGATAAGTTAATCGATAAAATATGTAACTCTTTCGTATTAAGTTTGCGGAATATGTTAAACTTACAACTATGGTGACAATTAACTATAATTAAATTACTCCAAACATTAATTCACTGTGTTAAGAAAAGAAAGTAATATGAAATAATTCTTAAAATTTTGTATCGTTCATTATAAGATTTATCTTCAAAACAAACACTTTCAATAATAATTAGAAGCCCGAATTCAAAACGTGAGAGCGATAATACATACATTTTTCTCGACTGAATATGAAAGATTTGTCGAAACTATAGTTTGATGTTGGACCATTAAAAATTAGTGCATAATGATTTTCTTTTGCACTCATTGTTAGTGTATAAAACTATTATATGTGTTTTATCACTTGAATACTAATTTTGCATTAATTCAATCCAAGTGAAGTCAAAATATTACTTACTAGATGCTTTTAATTAAATCTTTTGTTGTCCAATACAATTCTGTATCTAGTCAAAATGGTTCTCATTAATTATATGTCAGGTTAATTGTCAGT